TAAAACCCCCCCCCCCCCCAAATTAAACGCGTTAGCTCTAGTGCAATCTAAAAACGAGTAACCTATTCAGAAGTGTCTCATGCGAGTGAGAACAAAATACGTTGAAAAGTCTCATGTTTGTATGTGAGGAGTTTCAACGTTCGGTAGTGGCCACGAGGCGTTAAAATGGTATCCGAGTCAGTACTCTCCCAGAGCATTGTAGTTCGAGGACAAACCAGGTGAAAGCTGGTAGACCTGTGATATCTCGAGTTATGATAAGGGTTGTGATTCGTGAATGATCGTCGGGGCGGCTCCCCAAGTACCATTAGGCCACAGGGATAGATGAATGAATCGAACACATTGAAATGAAAGATATTTGAGGACTATATATATACATGAGACTATACGGTCTAAAATAACTTAAAAGAATTAGTTGAGTTATTCATAGTAACAAGGTGCACATACTTTTTAAGTTGACAATCCCAAGAGAACTCAAAAGTTAAACGTATTGACTCTGGAACAATCTAAGGATGGGTGAGTTATTGAGAAATGTTTCGGTATACATGTGAATGAGGATAAAACACGTTGAAATGCCTTGTTTTAGCATGTGAAGGCAATTTCAACGTTCGGTAGTGGCTGCAGAATGTTATAATAATGAATCTCATTTGTTTGTTAAAATTCTCAAACTTAAGAGATTCATTATAGTATATATTCTGCATGAGAAATAACTCTTTTTTATTTAAACATCGCATTTAACCCAATGATTATAAAAGTTGTATATATATAGATGATTAAAATAGTTCTGTCCCTCTTATTAAAACTTTGAGTAATCTGGATTACGAAAACGTACGATCCTATTATAAATGAATTAATATAGATTAATCTTATCAATTCAATGAGTCCACTTAATGAACGGGTAGCAATTGAATTTGATTAAGTGATTGTTATCATATTTCATATTGAAGTAGAGGTATGGTGAAACAAAATGACTACAATAGAAATTATTATGGGCTAATATTAAATCACCAACTCTATTTGATGTGGTTAATTTGAACGAGCTTATTAGATCGTACACAAAAAAGTTGTGTTATATATGACACCATAATCGTTTGCGTCATGAGTTTTCAAATTTATAACTAATAGACAATATATTCACAAGTATATGAATGTCATAGCATCGGAGTCGATTACAAAGACTTATATAAAGGCTCTAGTTAAAACTCGACTAAAACTAAGAAACCATTCCTTCATCTGGGGTGGTCATTTCGGTTCGGTTTTGAGAAACCAAACCATTCCGAACCAAAAAATGCGGTATTTTTTCGATTCGAACAGTACCAAATTTTCGAACGGTATTAATTTTAAAAAAGTTGAATTTCTCGGAACCGAACCAAACCGAACCGAATTTTAAAAAACACAAAAAACCGAATTTTTTAAGAAGATATAATTTTTTAATAAAAATTAAAACCGAATCAAAATCGGAACCGAACTAAACCGAATATAATATAATAACCGATTGATACGTATTTTGAAAAACTGAAAGAATCAAAACGAACCATTACTTACCCAAACCCAAACCGAATACGTTCACCCCAAACTTCATCCACCATGTTTCAGTCACACGTCTCCTCATCAAGCCGTCTGCACTTTCCCCAAACAACAATACAAGAGAGCCCTGATAACAACTATGGAGCCATTCAGTAGATTCAATGGAGCCGTTTCCAAATTCTTAAACCATCAACCGCAAAGAATTTATGACAACATGACAAATGTGTCTAAATGTAACGAGGTAGATCACCAATAGTCTTTACAAGAACATGACCCATCTCTATGATGGTGGAATCTCTTCGCATCTCGATGGACCAACTCTCTCCCAACTATTTTTGACATGAAATTGATTGCATTATGGCAATCGACACAAATACGGAGAGATTTCATCACTCGGATTGGATAACGGGCAGGAGTGGCGAGAAGAGACAGAGCGAAAGCTAGTCTCTCGCTATGGCCAAGTAGGGCCTCCTCCTTTTCTTCTGGATGGACGTCGTGCAAAACACATCTAAGAAGAGGGACATATCCCATTTCCACCATTTGCTTCTTTAAAACCCTCAATAGGCCATACAACTTTTCCTTGTCGGGATGTGCAGTATCTCCTGCTCTAAATTCACGGCGGCTGCCTCTGATTTCGAGAGGATTCGGGATTCCCGATATTTTCTTCAGTTTTTCCTTCGCAATGTCTGATTCTTTGGCCGGTATCAGACCAGCCCTTGAGTGTTTGTTCAGTCGTGTTGCATCCAGTTGCTCAACCATCTCAGCACACCGATCTCCAAGCTCCAAATTTCCTTGAACCCAAGAGAGATTCATCAATGTTTCCCACACGTCAACACTTGGTTCCATTGGCATCTTCTCGACAAATTCCAAGGCTTCACCCAAATAACCGGGTGCTGCAAGCATCTCAACAATGCTCACATAGTGTTCCATGGTGGGCATTACGCCATGGTCTTTATACATTGCTTCAAAATGCAACAATCCCTCATTAATGTCACCTAGTACAGAACACGCATGGAAGACACCTTTGAATACTTGACCATCGGGTTTGTTTCCTTCGTGTTTGAAACGAGCAAACATATCAATGGCATCTTCCCCTAGACCATTCTTAGCCAAACACCTTATCATGGTGTACCAAGTCTCTGAATTTTTCTCTACCATTTTCTCAAATATACTTAATGCATCAACCACCGAACCACAACTAGAGAACATTTCAATCATTCGGTTGTTGGAACTGATGTCAGAAACTGAAACTGAAACACTAAAGTGCTTGTGAACAGTCTTGGCCTCTTGCAAAGCCTCTGCTTCCCCACATAGCTGCGCTATCTGTAACAGCCTAGGTAAATCCACCACATGTCCCTTACTTGTCAGTGACTTGATAACATTTACGGCATTTTTTAACTGACCCTCCCCGCAAAATGCATCAAACTCCTCAATCGTGACATCACTCTCCATGTTAGCATAAGAAACATTGTCTGGTTGATAAGACCATCCATTCTGATTATCAGAGTTTGTCCAGTATTGTCCTCCTGAGCTTGTGTTTGGATTCTGCCAACTCTGTGAGTTGTTCCAGTTGAGGTTTCCTTGATCAGAAGCATTAGTTTTCTGCCATGTTTCCCCATGTCCACCGTAGTTAGAACCCTGACTCTGAGTTTGTCTGCTCTGTGTCTGAATCCTACTACTCTGTGGAATGTGATTTTGCTGACGAACACTGTCACCAGCTCCACCACAACTACCGGTTCGATTCTGACCGTATATCGACTGAAATCCTCCTGACCTCTCCCCATTGCTGTAACTATATGAGGAGTTAACACTGCTACTCGGTGGCATCCGATTTTGCTGATGGACACTTTTGTCACCTCCACCATAACTCCCAGGTTGGTTCTGACTGTATATGTTCCAATTCTGCTGAAATCCTTGTGACCTCTCCCCATATACTCCATTCCGATTCTGCCAAGATCCCTGCATTCTTCCTGAATAAATCTCAGCCGGATTCTGCAGTAAATTTCGATCATTTTTCCCGTTATACACATCAAAGCCACCGAGTCCTCTACCACTGTTTCTAGGATTCTCATTCCGTAAACTAAACCTATCAGGGCCAGCATAAACGCCATTTGGATTCTGCCCAGCTATTTCATCTTCTCTCGCAGAATGTGTCACGAAACCATTCACATGATTTCCCCTAAACCCTGCGCTAGGGTTCAAGTTCTGCTGAAACCCATGAGGGTTTTGAGCTCCACTGTCAAAACCATTGGTTTTACCGGAAGAATCATCCGCGTGATATCCATTAGGGTTCAGAAAATCCCCTCTTTCGGCGGCTGTACTTAGATCTCTCAGCAGCAATTTATCCAACAATGCGATCGACCCGGACGAAGAACGACATACCTTCGGTAGAGAGACAACAGAGATCGAAACCTTCCTCGTGTACATCAATGGCGAAGATACGAAGAGCACAGAGCGAGGAGAGAAAGCTCGTCAGTTTCTATTTTTTTTTTCTTAGAAACAAATCAGATTTGAATTAGAAAAGAACCGACAAATCAAAATCAAATCTGTTGACTTTGGAAAGAATCGAATAAAATGGAGGAAAGGGTATCTACTGAATCTGGAACGATCAATGATATGGAAAACGGAGATCGAGAAGCAGAATCATAGAATCTCACGTAATAAACTTGTCGTCTGATTCCCTATTATTTTTGAAGGTTTTAAATTTTACCGACCGCCAACGGCAAGCCCAGAACAACTAAAGCCCATTTAAGTATATTAAAAGCCTTTTGTGCTGCGCGCCGAAGAAACCTAAATCTTGGTCTCAGATTGTCCGGAAAAACAATGGCGACCCGGGTCAGCAAGAAGCGCAAGGTAGTTTCCCTTCTGCTGTTTCCGTTTGAGTTCGTAACAATCATATCCAAGGGGAAATTCTGGGTAATTAGAAGATGTGGGGTGTCATGCTATATTTAATTTTGATGTTTCTCATACTCAACCCGTAAAGTTTAGGGTTTATGTCCGAATTTTCTGGATATGCAATGCGACGAGTAGAGAAGCGTGATTTATGGATAAGGCCTATGAAAAGGGTGTTGCGGCGAAATATCTGCTTAGATTTTGGGTTCCGTATGATCGATAACCACGTGTTGATGGAACGGTTTGTAGCTGAAATTTTGATTGATTGATCTATAAAATAATTGTTTTAATGAAAAAAATAATATTGATTTAAAAACAAATTGTGACTCATGCATGATGCGTGCGCGATAAGAGAAACAGAGAATTTAAGTGACCTGTTGATAGGATCACTTCTGTTGCAAAAGTTCGGAAGATTGAATTGAGGTGGCAATGATGTAGCGATCTTCCCATATATATCAACAAGCAATAAACGGAGGTGTCCATTTCGGTTATTAACAAAATAACCGAGCCAAATCGAATCGAATAAGATATAACCGTATTTGAATCGAACCCGACATCATAATAGAACGGTTATGATTTCTTTACATCCAAAAAAACTGAAATCGAATCAAACCGAACCGAAAAAACCAAGAAAAAACCCGACAATTTCTTTGAAAAACTACACTTTTTACCGAAACTAAACCGAATCCGAACCGAAAAATAACCGAAACAAACCAAACCGAAATTTATATAAAAACTGAATGGTTATAGTTTTTCGAAATAACCAAACCGAATCCGAACCGAAACCCGAATTGACCACTCCTAGGAACATAATTCTTAAGTTTATTAAATTATTTTCTAACAATTTGAGGTGTTCTCTTCAAAACAAGCATGTATTTTTTTTATAATCTAGAAGTTAATCAGATCTTTGACCCAACTACATCTTCCAGAAGATCGGAAAAACCCATGTGAATATCCTTCTCCAAATGAAGACTCGAACCCTGATTGGGAAGAATTTTCTCCATCACTCTAATTTTGGCCACGGACATGTTGATTCTTTAAGTGTATAATCCATTTAATTTATATTTAATTGAAAAATATAAAAATATTTTAAATATAAATGTTATCAGTTTAATTTATATTTAATTTAAAAATAATTTTATCATAAAATTATTTTGTTATATCTTATAAAAAATATAAAAATAGTTTAAAAAATAAATTTCATCAATTTAATTTATATTTAATTGAAAAATGATTTTATCATAAAAATATTAAAAATAATTATTTATAAATATAAAAATTATATAATCATGTGATACTATTATATTATTTTAACTCAAATTATAATATTAAAAAATTAAACTTAAATTATATTATTAAATATTTGGCGTGAAAGTTAATCAAAGTATTCTTCACATGCGTATTTTATACAAACCCATATCTCACCACCTTCTCATGAATCCCAAATCCAGTAGAGATCCGATGAGCTTCTCGCGAGATTCTAGCGAAGATAAGCCCTAGTCGAAAAAGAAGTGCATAAATTATAGAGAGAAATCGATCGATCATGTGAGAGAAAATGGAGAGAATTAGGGTTTTTTTAAATTTTTATTAAGGGTATTTTAGTCTTTTGATAAATACAAAAAATTGGGACAATGTTATAGTTTGGGGTTTGTTGGGAATTGTTTTTAGGTTTTAATCTGGTAAAAATTGATAAATTTATATATATATATATATATTTTCTAATAAACCGTGAATATATGACGAGAATCTCCGATGCTTAAACCACTAATCCACCTACTCCCGACATATTTAATTAGATTCCAAAACCGTGAAGAATACTCATGTGTAAAAAAAATGTCATATTGATCGGTTCTTCACCACCTCGGGAGTCGAGTGAGTGATGCTAACCCAAAGTGGAAGCAAGCTTTTGGTTGGTTCTTTTGATCACTCAAAGAATCCAGCTTCCAAACACTATATAAGTATACATATATATATATATACACACACACACACACGAGTAAACAAACATAGACTCCAGCATATTTTATCCATTACAATGCAATATCTAACACGGAAGTCATGCGCATGTATCATCATTAAGCTCACTCTAGTGGAAGATCTTCATATTTTCGTCATGAAAAAATAATTACAAGTTATGTAAATGAAAACAAAAATCGCAAAAAAGTTCGAATGTCCGAAAGATGACGATTTAGTATCCTAATTATTTATGGAAATACACATATGAAGTGCCAAAATGCGATATGGTGGATATTAACCCCTCATCTGTTAGAAAATTTATTTTATTTTCTTTTTAGATGTATTTTGCAAGGTCGAATTAAGAAAACTAATTAAAAATTATATATTCACTCTCTATATATATCTTTTTCAGTTAAAGATCTACTTTTTTACTATCAATTTAAGAAATAAATTCTATTTTTTTTTATTTTAATATCCTTTATTTTATTCAGGTAAAAAACTATTGACGAAAATCAAAATGATGTTATCGTTTACAAAAAAAGATGTTATAGCAAAAACAAATAGAATAAAAACAAATGATGCCTATTTAAAAAAATTAAGTTAAGAGTAACTTAACGACAAAATTACTTTTTAAACTGATAATTAATTTTAATAAAATAAAAAATTGCATATAATTACCTTAATTTTTATAAAATTCTCAAATAAATATCTAAACTATAAAACTTCCATATAAATATCCAAACTTTTCAAAAATTCCATAATAGTACCCATATTTTTAAAAATATTCCAAATAAAACAATATTTGTTAATAACGTTTAATGTATCCGAATTTTAAGTCATCAATTTTTGACGGATTTTGTTAATAATAAAACGCCGCTAATGGATTTTGATTTTATTTAGAAATTTTCAAAATTTTGGATATTTATATAAATTTTTTTAAAAATTTAGATATTTATATGAGAGTTTTGTAATTTAGATATTTATCTGTAAATTTTGTAAAAGTGCAAAGTATTTATATGCAATTTTCTCTTAAAATAAATCTAAACATTTCTGCTTACTGAAAAGTATTATTTAATTGATGATATTTAATTTCTTCATTTCTAACTTTTTTTACCACCACGTTCACGTTGGATATATAATGCTATATATAATGTATCAACCCCGAGCATCCATGTCAACGAATTTTGTCGATATTAAAATCGAAAGTACAAATGTTAAAAATATTGAAAATTCATATATTAAAAAGGGAGTAAAAGTCGAGGTATTATAATTAAGAAAATATACAGAAAAAAAGTTATATAATTTCGTTTTACAAGATCAAACCACTAGCAATAGCATGATTCGTCTGAAGATGAGTTGTCTCATACACAGGCAATTCATCTCTGTATCTTCCATTTCCGACAAGATCGAGCTCGAAGAGGTCTGAACTCGAGCAACTCAAAACGTCATCGTTTTCATCGTCTTCCTCCTCCCCCTCACAACGACCATAAGATTCTTTCCTTTTCTTGTTCCTCTCATACTCTCTGAGAATCTCACGCGCTATCATTTCCACGCGCTTGCTCTTCTCCGCCACCATAACCCTAATCTCCTCCTCCCTCGCCGCCGCATACTCACTGATTCGCTTCTCGTTGGTGGCAAAACCAGAGACTTTTTTCAACCCTTTTTCTTCTTCGCCAATACTTTTGTGTCCACAGGGTATAGAGTCGTCGCCAACAATCACACTCACGGGGTAAAATCGAACGCTACGCTTCTCTGTGTTCTTCTGTTTTTCTCTGGTCGAAGTGGAATACTTGCTTAAGCACGATCTAGACTGAGAACACGAAGACGAAGAAGAAGAAGAGAAATGTTTAATCGAAGTTTGAGATTTTCTGATAAACCCATCGTCCGGATTCCGACAAATCTCCGGTTTCTTGACATTGTTGGTTCCGGTGAAGAGGGAGTTGATGAAGCTGGCGATGCGGCCTCCAGGAGAAATAGGCTGCTTCAATTTCTTGAGATTGTTGTAAATCTTCATAGCTCTCGATTCCGATTTGATCAGGTCGTTCTCTTCTTGTTTGACGCGATCTCTGTTTCCATGAAACAGAATTCTCTGTTTTTCTTCCCTCTTCTCTGTTTTCTCTGCAACTCGGACAGGACGAGGACGAGGCGGGGCGACACAGAAGGGCTTCGCCGTCCTGTTTCCGTAAATGAGTTCCGTGTCGGAAGCCGAGAACCCAGATGAGCTCGTGTCGGAAGAACACGAACCAGAGCTGAAAAACGTCGAATCTTCGAAATCTTGGGTCTTTTTGTATGTCTTGCTCTGTTCTCTTACGGGGCAAGATCTGTAGCATCTCGAATCTTCGGAGTCGATGGATCGATAGATTTGATCCAGAAGAAAGGAAGAGAACGATGGGTTTTGACTGTTGTCCGTTTTCTTACATTTTCTCTCGTTTTCTCTGTTTGTTCTTAGCATTGTTTCGGTGAGATAAAAGCGAAATGATGAAAACAGAGACAAAGGAACACGACGATAAGGACTTGAGGTGCTTTGTCGTGAGAGAGAGGTTTATAGCGGGGATGGAGAGTGAAACGCACGCGCGTGATCGTGTTCCTTTATACTTGGAGCTTCCATGACAGGCTGGATTCTATGACGCAATATTTTCATACTGACGAATTTATCCTTGGATTGCGCTCCAAATTACTGTTAATCTTGCGGTAAAATTCCAAAATTGATACCACAATTGTGGGCTCCATTGATTATCAATGAATGATTATCAAAGTTTAAAAACGTAACGGTTATTTTATTTTACAAAAAATTTCCATATTTATTAATAGTTTAAACTTGAAACCACGTGTGTGTTGCAGGCTCGCATGCGTGGGCCGGGATTAGTCCGGACTCTTGGGCCTGGTAAACCCGACTTATAAGAAAAAGGTTAAATCTAGGTTAAACATTTTCAGATTAAACTCGGTTCAATTTTTTTAAAAATTTTCGGTTTAAAATAATGTTCATTGGACATCGGTTTCGATTCGATTTTCTCAAATTTGATTTCATTGTATTTTAATTAAAGAGACATTTATTTATTTTTAATCTAATTTGGATTTCTCTTTTATTTAGTTCGAATTAAATCTATATCTAATCGGTCACGATTAGATCTTATTGAATCTGTTTCCGTTTTTGTTTGTCTAAGTAAAAATCTCCACACGTAATTACATCCACATTTCTTAAATTGTCCGAAAATTGAGTATTTACGTTTAGTAAATAGATTTTGCGGTTTATGGCTATGCAATGATCTTATAAACTATACATTAGTTAAGCTTTTCTTTTTTTAATAAAAGCCACATATTGGTTAAGTTTTTTAATGAACCTAATAAATTACGCAAAAAAACATGTACTTTTTATATTTTAAATTTTGTAATAAAATACATACTTTTCCAATGCAAAATCCCAGTCAGACCGCCGTAGGTTTAAAAAATATCATGTCATTTACTAAAAACAATTAAAAAAAATGACACACCAATTTCGACTTAAAATTTATAAAAAATGATTAATTAATAAAACAAACGAAAAACAAAAAAAATACACACACACATATATACAGCGCTACATTATATATATACCCATACACGCAAGTATTTATATGCTTACATATATAGACTAATACATACACATGCACACATACATATATCCATATATATTTATATATGTACGTATGAACTTGATTAGAGGATCATATTTAGTGATTCAAACGCTCTATAGATGAACCTGATTAATTAGTGTTTGGAGGGTTTCGATAACATTTGTGGAAACAATGAGTGATATATAGTCGAATCGTTTTCCTTTGTTACGGGTGTAGAGATTGATTTATAGTTAAAACTATGAACGATACATAAAATCATTATCTATTATGATATCAGAATAAAAACTAGAAATACTTATATATAGTAATTTGACCGTTAAAGTTTTTCGTTTTTATATATATATATCATCTATATCTATATAGCGGACGATCAGATTGTATAATACAAAGAATACAACATAGTTTTTTAATATAAGAATTCTAGCTAGAAACTCTAGAATCATGCATCCATATCACCAAGACTAATGTAAATTTATTAGATATAATCTATGGAATATCCAAAGATTCAATGTATCAAAGATTTTAAAACGCTTAATGAGTTGGCAAAAGTGATCAACCGTTCATGCAGTTCGATCCTTCGAATTTTTAGCCGAACGATCAAATTATTCTTTGCTAACTTTGTCTGTATTATGTTTGGTACGCCAATTATAATTGTTAGCTATTATTTGATGGTGGAGTTAGTTATAGATTGAATTTAGTTCAATTGCAAATCAATAATTTCATTTCCCTTTCCTCGTGTTTTATATGTTGGATTCAGACCATATGTTTTTAAAGTACGCCGTATAATTAGATAGAGAATCAATGCATGTATAATTGAATGATCTTTTTTTATAATGCAAGTAGAGAAATATATGGTTTCTAACGTTGTATTTTTAAATATGTATATGAAAATTGGATTCCATGAGATTTGTGTACTCTAAAATTGTATTTTAATCCGTTTTCAAAAGGGTAATTGTATTACTGATCATAGTATTTAAAAGGAAATCCAAGACAGCGTTTTAGTGAGCCTAATTACATCAAAAGATAGAGAAAAAAATGTCTAAGTGTGGGTGAAAAATGGTAAGCGGAAAGAAAGTGTATTTTCACCCGAGTTGGAATTCCATCTTGGATTATCCATTCCAAAAAAAAAGAGAAATAGAACGTAAAGTCAGGGGTGAATAACTAGAAAATATTGATTTCTTTATAAATTTTGTAAAATTATAAATAAAATAAAATATTCGATAAAATTATATGTATAAAAGTATTGCCCTCTCTTGTCAATTTTTTTCGGTCCATAGAGGGATCCTTCCTCGTTGTGAAATGATCGGTCTAATTCTTTGGGAAAAAAATGTAAACGATGTTTTTCCATAGTCAATGGTGGAATTCCAATGAGTCGGACTTTGGTCCAAAAACATTAGAAGAAATAAGTGGTTCCGAGTATAATTAAGGGAATGAATGACCAAAGCAACATGTATGTATGTATGTATGTATGTATGTATGTATGTATGTATGTATGTATGTATGTATGTATGTATGTATGTATGTATGTATGTATGTATGTATGTATGTATGTATGTATGTATGTATGTATGTATGTATGTATGTATGTATGTATGTATGTATGTATGTATGTATGTATGTATGTATGTATGTATGTATGTATGTATGTATGTATGTATGTATGTATGTATGTATGTATGTATGTATGTATGTATGTATGTATGTATGTATGTATGTATGTATGTATGTATGTATGTATGTATGTATGTATGTATGTATGTATGTATGTATGTATGTATGTATGTATGTATGTATGTATGTATGTATGTATGTATGTATGTATGTATGTATGTATGTATGTATGTATGTATGTATGTATGTATGTATGTATGTATGTATGTATGTATGTATGTATGTATGTATGTATGTATGTATGTATGTATGTATGTATGTATGTATGTATGTATGTATGTATGTATGTATGTATGTATGTATGTATGTATGTATGTATGTATGTATGTATGTATGTATGTATGTATGTATGTATGTATGTATGTATGTATGTATGTATGTATGTATGTATGTATGTATGTATGTATGTATGTATGTATGTATGTATGTATGTATGTATGTATGTATGTATGTATGTATGTATGTATGTATGTATGTATGTATGTATGTATGTATGTATGTATGTATGTATGTATGTATGTATGTATGTATGTATGTATGTATGTATGTATGTATGTATGTATGTATGTATGTATGTATGTATGTATGTATGTATGTATGTATGTATGTATGTATGTATGTATGTATGTATGTATGTATGTATGTATGTATGTATGTATGTATGTATGTATGTATGTATGTATGTATGTATGTATGTATGTATGTATGTATGTATGTATGTATGTATGTATGTATGTATGTATGTATGTATGTATGTATGTATGTATGTATGTATGTATGTATGTATGTATGTCAATGGATACTTAGAATATATCTTATCTTTAGCAAGCAACGATTGAGCATAAAAAGCCAAAAAGTAAACAAATTTGAGAGAAGAAATAAGAGAAATCACCATAAAAAAAGAAAACCAAATATGTACAAATACGTTTCAAGATATTCAGTTATCCGAAATCTCCATTGCAAAGACGAAGAAAAGAAACGAAATTTGTGACAATTTTCTCTCATATTCAAATATGTACAAATACGTTTTTATATATATAAAAGATTGAGAAATTTGAATTTGAAATATCAACATCTAAGAAAAATTTGGAGAGAGGTATTCATCTGATCTTTTTCGAACTTCTAAGAGATGTAGTTGGATCGAATATACGGTTAATTTCTGGATTATAAAAAAACATTTAAGAAAAACTCTTTAAACCGGAATATAATCAAACCCAAATATAATAGAATCCAACCAAATAGAGACATGAGCCATAACAAAACCGCCCTACGATAATTTACCATATTGCCCCTTACAAACCATCTTATGGCGTCGGACGTAACACGGTAGATAAATCGAATAGATGTAGAATGAAGATCTCCTAAACTTCTTCTACACAATTCTTAGTTAATATATGATATGATTTATTTTGGGCATATTAACAATCATTTTTATAATTCCACCTGTTATATAGTCATTTATTAAGAAAAACATTATACGTACGGCTATTCAGCCAAAAAAAAAAACTTAATTACCAAAACCGACAGGAGACGAAAATATCGTGGGGACGAAAATAATAAATTTCAGCCCAATTTATTAGCAAAAGGAGACGAAAATAAGCCCAATGTATCTAATCAAAACTTGTACCGGTCCACGAGCACAAATAAAAACCTAGGACATCACGAGTATCGTTAAATGTTTTTCACCAACTGTGTGCATTGATTTCGTTAAGAAAATGAATGGAAACCATCTTTGTACTCGCTTTCTTTTCGTTACTTCTATATGTTTCATGTAATTATTTTAATAATATATGCAGTTAACCGAATTCCAAGTATCATTCTATCTTATCCAATTTTCATCGTTATTAGAATAAAATTAAGTTATGTAATCCTTTGCTCATTACGGTGACGGTATGGCGCTCTAAGACCCGATACTAATCTGAATTTGTTTCAAGATATTCAGTTATCCGAAATAATTTCATATATACATATACAGGACTAGAAGGTGAGCCATGTATAGTGCTTTAAGGATCCCAAAATTTTAAGAAACCATAATTTTTTATAAATTTTCAAATTGTAACTAATTATCATTTCTAATTGCTTTATACTCCGATTCATATATATATATATATATATATGAACAATGTGAAAGAGAAGAAAATAAAAGCTATAATTTTGGTCCAATATATAGACCATTCAAACTACAATTAAAGATAGAGCAGACCAACTGTGTGGAAGAGGACAGGTGGGTGGAATTTATTACTCTCTTCACTCTTTAAATAATCCCATTAACTCACACAAAAAAAAAAAAACCTCAATGTCATCGATCTTTCTCCTCCTCTGCACCATCAATTCATACCCAAAACCCTAAAAAAGTAATCACAAAAAGAACGCAGAGAAAATGCTAAGTTCGAAGGTCCATTTCTTGATTCTCTTGACACTGTGTGTGCCATACGAACTGAGAGCAGAAGATTATGATTATCTGAAGGTTCCGGCCAATGAGTTCGTGAGTTCCATAAACATGGCTGTCGAGGTCATGAGAGAGGTGAGTTCGGTTCTGTCTCAGTTCGGAGAGTTCGGCGGAGATCTTCGGCTGCAAAACGCGGTCTCGGATTGCCTCGATCTGCTCGACTTCTCGTCCGATGAGCTGAGTTGGTCTGCTTCTGCTTCTCAGAACCCAAAGGGTACGTTTATAATCTCGAATCTCATGCAAAAACTAGGTTAAGCGCGTGTTACTTAGCCAGCATATAGAACTCGTGCTTTTACAATGCTTTAGGGAACGTAATGAAAAAAACTACTGCGAGATCGTACATTTACGATGAGAATCTCAGCTGGTTAGAGAGATGGGATTTTTATTGAATTTGGGAGATTCAAAATGGATTTAATGCGACATTTTTTGTTGTGTTATTCAACTTTCTGTACAAAAAAAAAACCCGACCTAAACCGGCCAAATTTCTATAAATTTATGTTTATTTTTCTCTCAAAAGTATTGGATCTTGTAGTACAATTGTTTAAATACTAGACACGCTTAATTCCGTAAAATAACTTTCCACAAGATCCATATCACAGAAGCTGCCAGATGGTAGAAAATTCAGACCGATCGACAAATTATAGATATTCTCGTATTTACAAAGAGATATTAAAATGGAACTACCTCGTTGGTTTCGATTTCTTTTTCTCAGCGGTTATTTACTATTCGGTTCATAAAGAAACCAACCAATTCGGTATAGCCAGTCTAGGAATTTATTCCGGTATGGTTAGTACTTATGAGATGGTCTCACTTGTATCACCAAACGAGTTTGATATATTATATTATATTATGATATTAAAAAACACCTTTATCCCAAAAACACATGCATGTTGAAAAAAAAAGGAAATAAAATATATTTTTGGAAAATAAAAAATAGTTTAAGAACATGGAAGGAAGGAATAGCTAAGATATCAACGATTTAATATTAGAATATCAAGATGGTTAGAAAATCCTAGAGAAAACAAGAAAAATTCCAACTAAGATATATAACTACAAAGAAATGTTTTAATATACTTTATTTTCGTACACATTTTTTTCTAATTTTCATAACAACATATTAATCTTACATGAAAAAATCTAGTAAAAAGAGGAGATATTAATTATGCTATTAAAAGAAATTAAATGTTAGTATATAAGATGTAATTTCTAAAAAAAAGGAATATTTTTCTATTCACATGATTAAATGGTAAGTTGAATTAATAATAGAATTATGCTTAGAACACCAAGACTCGTGAAAAACTTGCGTAATCCCTACAATGCTATTACATTCTAATAGTTATAAGGACTACACGATAACTATTGCATATATATATATATATATATGTATATTAGTGTGAAATATTATACATATTCTTATAATAAAAAGGTTATACGAATGGTGCTTGTCATGAGCATGTGTTTGTAGGGCATGTTACACTACCCGCTCCATGTATATTCTCTGCCACATTCATTAGTGTCTTTTTCAAATGTCATAAATATGTGATATTTATGATACACATGTATATAATTGTATAATATTGTGGGCTAATGAAGAAACCGCGTGAGGAAATAAATGCGGGAGAAAAATATTTGCAGGGAAAGGAGAGAACGGGACAGGGGATGTGGGATCGGACATGAAGACATGGTTGAGTGCTGCTCTCTCCAACCAAGACACTTGCATTGAAGGCTTCGACGGCACTAATGGCCTCGTCAAAGCCCTCGTCGCCGGTATCATTTATTACACCTGCCTCTCTCTTGTTAATTACAAAGTGCATTGATTAGGAAATTAAAAAAAAAAGATTTGGTTAAGAGTTATTTCCGGTTTATTTCGAATCTTGTTTAGTTAAGAGTAAACAAGGTTTTGTTTAGATCATGTTCTGTTCGGATTGAACAGCAAACTTTTTTCTTTAATTTAAATGAACTTAATTTTTGTTCGTTCATATGAGATTGAAAAATATCTAACCTAATCGAAATATTAGAGATATAATATATCCCAATAAAATATCAGAGATATGTACATATCTCTAATATGCAATTATATAATATTCTGTTTCGTTTTTTTTTTATAATTTGCTCCATGAGTTGAAATTAATTATTGTCTTCTTTGTTTTATTTTTTATTATTTCACGAATTGAAATTATGCTTTAAAATTTGATGAAAAATTGAATTTTTTTACACACATCACACCCAAAATATAAACACATACCCATATTATAGCTATACATGTAATATATATATATATATATATATATACACATTCATATGCGAATATTTTCATTTCCCTCGCCTCAACAAAAGAAAATATAAAATATAGTTATAAAAAAAAACAATTTTGTCAAAAAAAAACAAAAGAAAATATAGGATTTTTCACTTTATTAAATATTAAATAAATTTTCAGGTAGTCTCAATCAACTATACTCCATGCTCCGCGAGCTATTACCACTCGTTCAACCGGACACGTCAGCCAGGCCGAAGCCCAATCCGAGGCCCATTGTCAAACCAGGCCCCACCAGTAAGAGGCCAAGGGGCCCACCAGGCCGCAAACTCATAAATACAGACGACGAGATCCGTCGATTCCCAGACTGGGTCAGATCGGACGATCGCAAACTGCTCGAAGCAAACGACGTTAAAGTCGACGTTACGGTGGCGTTAGACGGGACGGGGGATTTCACGAAGATAACGGACGCCGTTAAAGCGGCTCCTGATTATAGCAGCAAACGTTTTGTAATATATGTGAAGAAAGGTGTGTATTCGGAGAACGTTGAGATCAAGAAGAAGAAATGGAACCTCGTTATGATCGGCGACGGCATCGACGTCACGGTTATCTCCGGTAACCGTAGCTTCATCGACGGTTGGACCACTTTCCGGTCAGCTACTTTCGGTATGTTAAAAAATTTTCAGATTTGTTCATAATCTAAATATCTGTAACGCTGTTACAGCTGCTAACGCTACATCTAGCATTTCCGAAAGAAGTATACTTTTTGTGTGGTGGCAGCTGTGAGTGGGAGAGGGTTTCTTGCGAGGGACATAACGTTTCAAAACACGGCGGGGCCGGAGAAGCACCAGGCGGTGGCAATGAGATCGGACTCAGACCTCTCGGTGTTCTACCGATGTGCGATGAAGGGTTACCAAGACACGCTCTATACACACACGATGCGTCAATTCTACCGAGACTGTATCGTGACTGGAACCGTAGACTTCATATTCGGGGATGCGACCGTCGTATTTCAAAACTGCCAGATTTTGGCAAGAAGAGGCTTACCTAATCAGAAGAACACTATCACGGCTCAAGGCCGCAAGGATCCTAACCAACCTACCGGTATAATCAATGAGATCTAATCGTTTCTTGGCATCCAAGAAACTTTAATAATTAAGCGCGTCGATTTGTTTGTCCTGAAATACAGGGTTCTCGATCCAATTCAGCAACATCTCGGCCGAGGCAGACTTGATTCCTTACCTAAACACGACGAGGACGTACCTTGGGAGGCCGTGGAAACAGTACTCGAGGACGGTTTTCCTGCAGAACTACATGAGCAACGTGGTGAGACCAGAAGGTTGGCTCGAGTGGAACGGCGATTTCGCTTTGGACACACTATTCTACGGCGAATTCATGAACTATGGCCCTGGGTCCGGGCTCGGGGGACGAGTTAAATGGCCCGGTTACCGAGTGTTTAACGACTCGGCTCAGGCTAACAACTTCACAGTGGCTCAGTTCATCGACGGAAATCTCTGGATCCCTTCGACCGGAGTGAGGTACACTGCTGGTTTGAGCGCTTGAACCCACTTTTGTTTCGGTTCACTCTTTTAAAGTCTTGTCGGATGCTTTTGTTAATCTTATTCTTTTGTATTTGGATTGTGTTTTCTTGTGGTCTCAAGTGATTTCGTTGCTTGGGGAGAAATCCCTGAAGAGTAAAATAGAAAGTAATTTAAATTTGTGTTCTTTTCCGAATAAGATGGACTTAATAACCTAAATGATCTAATTAATCATTGGCGTTTCAACGTCGACGTCATAACGGTCGTCAGAATTCGAAGTTAGATCTTTAGATGCCACCAAAGATTTACGAGTTCGTTTTGTTTGAAATTCTACTAACCAAATTCTCACACAAATCTAACGAAAATTCAATTTTTATCGCATGAATAAAACATTTATAAAAAATCAAGCAATTACATTATTTTTTCTGATCATCATAAATCAAAATTAGAGATATGTTTTGAGAAATTTGTTATTAAATATTTTTCAATATATATGTACTCCTTGAATTCAGGGTTTATCCTATAACTATTAACGAAAAAATGAGCTCTACTAAATTATGTAAGTTAATTTTTAGATGGTGTACAAAGAAACAAAATTTTAAAATATTCAAAAATCTATTCATCGAAATAATAAAACAAGAAAATTAATTAAATTGTTTTGTATTATAAAAAACTAAATTAATATTGAATGAACAGATGGTGAAAAAATTAATAAATTATTGCGAAAAAAGGTTTGAACCTCAGGCCCGATATCGTAGCGCGCCAGATCTGAAATCATTTCGGCCCGAGACCCAAAAACCCAAAAAATTATGGGATCTATATTCCCTAATAATATATGTATAGAAATAAATTTGTCAATTTATTTTTATTTATTTTTTTTAAATTGAAATGTAAAATTATACATGTCACATTCTATGAACAATGAAGCGACCGACCCATGTAGGCAGTGGGATGGTGCTAATTGCTCACCGTCACATGTTTTGTCTTATATCTTTTGTTTGTATCCATCACATATACATTTATATATGATATACATTTGCCAATTTATTTCCCATATTCAAAAAAATTAAGCGAATAGCACAGCCATCAAAGCTAGAGATAATTCAATAATGTATTCTTTATAAAATATAATTATGTTAAATCAGTGCAATAAAACAATGTTAATTAAGATCATCTGATTTAATTGCCTTATCATATGTAAGTTTGACATTTTATGGACTCAACAAATGTAAATGATTTTATTGGCTGATCTTTCATTAATTATTTTGTGTATTAATTATAAAGTATAAATATGAATCTGCCCACAGTTTTGATTATGGGATAGAAGTCGCACCATGCTTTGTTGTTTTATTTTATTTTCCTAATGAAACAAATCAGATCTCTATGATTCTTTTGAAGAGATTCACTCCATAGCGACTTCAACCTGTCCACACTTGCATGTTCTCAACACCAAAAATAAAATAAAATCATAATCATTATTTCAGATTTGTAAATGGTAAAATATTTGGTGTAGGAAATTATTCTGTTCTAAATTTAATCTTTTCTAATTATTGTTCAAAACTCGTATTTTATAGATTTTTAGTATATTTCATGCAATAATTATTTTGCTATAGAATTCAATTTTTTTTTTGTTTATGAAGATTTAGAATCATTCTGAAGTTTTATTTTCCTTGTATAAATATCTAGACAAACTTTCAATGTAGAGTTTGTGGTCTTTTTTATTTTATCGTATCCGAAAAAACTGAATCGATCTATTATTCGATTTATATTCGAACCAAAAATTTGAAAAATTCAAAATTTACGGATTGAATACGGATATTTATTTTGAGATGTTTGTCAGACACAGATATAAAAATTGAATTATCCGACATATCCGATCCGATCCGTATTTTTTAAGAATATTATTAAATATAAGAATAATTTGATATGAAGATTTAGAATGTTTAATATTTACATAATTTTTAAGGAAATTAAACAAATGTTTTATATATATGTTTAATCTTTTGAAATTAAGATTTATTATGTTTAGTATTTTGAATTTTAAACTTTGAAAATATTTGTATGATATAGATTATGATTTATTTGTACTAGAGTTGATTTTAAAATTTTAAATTATGAATATCGTTTATATTAAATAAACTATACATTTTATTTACGTTTAATTTTGTTATTTAATTTTAATTTTAATTTTTATAACGTTTTAGGTCAGATATGGATATCTGAAAATTATGGATCAAATTCGGATAACAAAATCGAATATTTATACAGATCGGATACGACTATCTCAAAAATCCCAGAGATCGATTCGATCCGAATGACAGTCGTCCATCTAGTCCAGACCGGTCGGTCTGGATGTAAGACCGATCGGTTTGGACGGTCTATTGTCCTCTTCTTTGTCTTTTTCCTCGTCTTCTCTCACGTGGCGATTCCCGTACCTTTTTCTGGCACTGTTCAAACTAATTTGGTTGACTTCGTGGCTCGTGTATTTAATTATTTATCTTCGATAATAATTAAATATTTCGATCGAATTTTGGGGTATTACATATATCCTCAACTTGGAGGTTAGAATGATATTTTTTCATAATCTTGAAAAGTTTTGTACTGATAACGTGTTGTAAAAATATTCGAAACTAAAATTACAAAAGGAGATATGAGAAGAGAGAATATTTGTTTTATTGTTCTTTCTTCTTTGTGTGTTTTGAAAATAGTTTACACATACCTATTTATAGGTTTACAAAGATGTAAAACAATACTTTATGAATTAAATAACAAATATGTACACGAAGAATAAATATCTGACATTCATTATTTTGTAAGTTTATTAATAAATTTTAATTTTTTAATAAATATTAATGATTTTTCTATAGTTTTTATGAAAAATAAGAAAAAAAGATAATTTTAAAATTTTAATGAATATTAACCTTTTTTTGTAATGTATCATGATATGTTTTTTTTTTGTAATCATTCCCTCGACCCTCCACTCAAATACATTAATTTGAATCAAGACAACATTACTACAATTAAATTGTATTCCCTTTCTCACCTGTGGAATCAAACTAAGAATCTTACAGAAAAATGCACAAGTGATCCTTCACTCCTCACACCCTTTTTACATAAAAGGTCGATCACTAGACCACCATAAAATAAGTTATATATTGATAAAAAATCCGAAGTATAATTTGTAAATATTTTAACCACTAATTCCTGTAATTGTTAATGTTTTTGGAATATAAATATTTTAATCACTATTTGATAGTTTTACATTGGATGAAAGAAAATGTAAATATTTTTATTCTAGATTGGCTCTCATTCAAATATTTTATAAGATTTTGTGAGGAAGATATCCTACTTGGAGTCCAAAAGTTGTCGATTTTACCGGACACTCTCGTGTTTGAACCACGTGAGACCCGAGAAAGCAAAGATCAATCTTGCAATAATTTAAAGTGTAAGACTTGAAATGAAGACCTTTTCAGTGCAGTGTAACGGATTTTGCTTATATTGAATATTATTTGAAACAATTAATAATGTACTTTGTCGCCAAACAACACAGGACACAAGAATTTGCTAATTTCTTTTTTGGAATATTAGCAGCCAACAGTCCCTATAAACCCTAAAAAGGTTCTGACAAAAAAAACTAAAAGATTCACGGGAAAGCAGAGCTGAGGAAACAAGACAAAAGCATAACGTGTTTTTCCATAACAAGGACGTACAATTGGACTGACCCGAAATCTTAAATTATTAGCAAGTTAAATTAATCTGTAAATTTAGAATTTAGATTTATGTCCTGTCTCTACCCATTTTATTAAAACCTGCATTTATAATATAATTTCGTTAACATTATTACCCTATGATTAGAATCGCACTCTGCACCGTTTTAAAAACACAGCAATCTCGTTCTCCAATTCGCTTCAGCATTCATATCCCTAAATGGCCTTCTCTTCTCTCAACCTCTCCACTCTCTTCCTTTTCTATTTCTTCTTGTTCTCACCCTTTGTTTCTTCATCAACACGTTCTTCTTCTTCTCTAAACCCTAATCAGATCTCTGCAACCGCTTTCTGCAGAAACACACCATACCCAGAAGCATGCTTGGACTCCGTAAAACTGTCAATCTCCATCAACATAAGCCCCGACATTCTGAGTTTCCTTCTCGGAACCCTGAAAACAGCGTTGTCCGAAGCCGAGAAACTCACCGGCCTATTCGCCGGCGCCGGGAACTCCGGCAACCTCGTCGAGGGTCAAAAGGGTTCGATCCAGGACTGTCAGGATCTTCATCAGATCACTTATTCCTCGCTGAAGCGCTCGATATCACGAGTCCAAGGCGCGTCAGACTCGCGGAAACTCGCAGACGCTAGGGCTTATCTTAGTGCGGCTCTCACCAACAAGAACACTTGCTTGGAAGGTCTGGAATCCGCTTCTGGTCCGTTGAAGCCGAAGCTTTTGAGTTCGATCGCTTCGACTTACAAACATGTCAGCAACTCTCTGTCTGTTTTGCCGAAACCAAGCAAGCGAAAGAACCCTAAAAACAGAGGAAAGAACCGGCGTTTGCTGGGTTTTCCTGAGTGGGTTTCTCAGAAAAACCGCCGGCTTCTCGAAGATTCCGGCGAAGACTACGGCGGCGGCGACGACGGTGAGTATGATCCGAGTCAGATTCTGACAGTTGCTGCTGATGGTAGTGGAAATTTCACTACAATAAGCGACGCCATAAGCTTTGCTCCAGATATGAGCAACGATAGAGTCCTGATATACGTGAAGGAAGGTGAATATAATGAGAATGTTGAGATTCCGATGCAGAAGACGAACATTATCTTGATAGGAGATGGATCCGACGTCACGTTTATCACCGGAAACCGGAGCGTCGGCGATGGATGGACGACTTTCCGATCCGCCGTTCTTGGTATATCAGCTTTTCTTTTAACCAGATCTTGGAAATGCGTACTGTCATTTTGGATTCTTGATTCATAGGTCTGAGATTGAGATATGTTTATATGGCAAAGTTTGTGTCCGTTCTGGGCATATATTAGACGAACTTGTTCGATTCTGGTTTTTGGACATAACAACTTTCCTTCACTCAAACCTTGAAAACTCATTGGACCCTTTTGGATTCTTGATTCATAGATTACAGATATGAATCTGTAAGTTGCAAAGGTTAGGATTATATGAACTCAAAACTCATTCTGTTTCTTTTTCTCACAGCGGTTTCGGGTGAGGGATTCTTGGCCAGGGACATAACGATGTCCAACACCGCGGGGCCGGAGAAGCACCAAGCCGTGGCATTAAGGGTAAACGCTGATTTAGCGGCGTTCTACCGTTGCGCCATAGACGGATTCCAAGACACTCTCTACATCCACTCGTTCCGTCAGTTCTACCGAGAGTGCGATATATTCGGGACAATAGACTATATATTCGGCAACGCAGCCGTCGTCTTCCAAGGATGCAACATCGTATCGAAAATGCCTATGCCACATCAATTCACCGTTGTGACAGCACAATCTAGGCAAACTCCGGACGAAGACACCGGGATCTCAATGCAAAACTGCTCGATCCTCGCCACCGAGGAACTATCCAACAACTCGGGTACCGTCAGGAGTTACTTGGGTCGACCGTGGAAGGAATATTCGAGGACTGTTCTAATGGAAACCTACATCGACGGGTTTGTTAACGAAAAGGGTTGGACAAAATGGTCAGGGGACGAAGGATTGGACACACTTTATTACGGGGAGTACGACAATTACGGACCTGGTTCGGACACGGACAAGAGGGTTGATTGGATGGGATATCATGTCATGAATTATGACGATGCTTATAACTTCACGGTGTCGGAATTTATTACCGGCGACGGTTGGTTAGACAGTACTTCTTTCCCTTATGATGATGGTATTTAACACAAACTGTAAGTATACAAAGATGGTTTTCTCTCGTTACGTCTAATAAAATTCTAAATTCTAATGATGTTTGGTCATGTATATTAAATTATTAGTGACAATTTCTAAAGACTAAATTTGGTGAAATAGAAAAAAGCTCGTACTATTTATTCGAGCTTTGGAATTATATCTTTTGACAATGCATTTTCCAAAATTGCGAGTGCGAAATACCCTTCCATCTTTTTTTTAATTGCTATTGCTTTAACATACTAATTTTTTGTTTATTTATCTCGTTTATATTTAAAATTATAGGACTATCTACGAAACATCATTAAGTTATCTCTCGAATAATATTTATAATCAAATGCGACTAGCGTGATTAGTATGATAATTTGACATTGTGATTTATTTGACTAGCGTGACCGTGTGATCACTTTACTGGTTTGATCACTTGATAGATATGATCATTTTGACCAATTTGATTAGACTAGTCAAACTTGTTAAATTGGTCACACTGTTCAAATGTGACGAGTACGACTAGTATGAACACTTGACTTCGTGACCAATGTGACAAGTCTGACCGTATGACTAATTCACTAGATTGACCATTTGATGGATCTGACTATTTTGACAAGTTTGATCAAACTAGTCAAAATCGTCAAATTGATCACACCCTTCAAATGCGACCACTGTTACTAGTATGACCACATGATTTCATGACCAATTTGTTTAGTGTGACTGTATGACCACTTGACGGGGTGTGACCAGTTTGATAAGACTAATCAAACTTGTCACATCCGTCAAATGCAATAGATGTGACTAGTTTGACAGATATGATAGTGTAATCGTGACTCAATTCCCATATGATTTGTCGTCTTTGTGAAAAATACTGTTTTTTAATTTTTTAACCGAAATCTTAATTTTTCTGATCTATATAATTTGATTAATATGACCCATTTAACTTGTTTTATCTTACTTTATTGTTTAACAGATACGCACATATGATGTTCTAAAAAATATGTCATTTTCTTGGTGAGTTTGGATATATATCTTGTCTGGAGATCTTCGCAAACATGAATCGAAGACGATGAAGACGAAACCACTATGAACCGAAGACGATTTTGCAAGAAGAAATCACAGAAATTGCCAAAGAAATCACAGAGAAAATGAAAGAAAGGGCCGGAATTTGAAAGAAATTACAGAAGGCGAAGAAGAAAGTGAAGTTTTTTGGGTTTAAAAAATTGTGATTTTATACCTGTTCTTCCCCTCTGCGCGTTTTTTTTGTACTATATATTTAAGATTTTGACACGTGTCTACAAAATTTTAGGGGTAACAATATCTTTTCAATGTTTTAGAATTTTTTTTTAAACTCTAGAATTTCGAGGGTATGATTTGAAATCGCTTGTGACATTATACTATTGCCCTTCATGAGTATTGCCAACATTTCCAGTTTTAATTCGGGTTCAGTTTGATTATTTTTTTATTTAATTTTTTTCGGATTGGTTGAAGTTTAGGTTTTTATAAAAATGTTGATTTTCTAAAATAACAGGTTTTGTTCAATTTTATTCGATTATTTTTTTTAATATTTGGTTTGGTTATCTAATATGACATATTAGATTATTCTTTACATTTGGTTTGGTTATATAAGATGGCACATATTAAACTGATGAGTTTTAAATTCAATTCTCTAATTTAGGTATATAATCATGTAAAATCGTTACATTATTAAAAAAAAAAAGTGATCTCTAAGCTGTGATTAATATTAAAAGGGAATTTTAAAAAAATAAATGGAACCAAAATATCACATTGATAAGGTGATGGGAGCATCGACAAGAGAGGACCCCATGGTCTGTTGCCTCATGAAATCTTGTCTTTCAGAAAATACCGTAATGCAAAGTGTCTATTATTGGATTTGTATTTCATTTAAATAGTCACGTATTCAAATCACTGTATATTTTTTTAGGATATTATCGTAAACATTTCTGTTATGCAATCAACATTTCAAAGAGAATTTATAAAAAAAAAACATTTCAGAGAGAAAATACAAATTACATTGCCATTTCAAATTTTGATATAAAGCGGAATGATATAAATTTTCTAAATAAAAAATTCGAATTCGAAATTAATATAAAAATAACTGAAAATCTAAACAAGATTTTTTAAAATAATTTTTTTATCAAAATAAAATTGAAACCCAAATCGACGCAAGCAAAAACTTAACCAAACCAAATTTAGTATAAAATTTGAATATGAACCGAGTATGATATAACCAAATCTAATATAAAAAATTAAATGGATATAATAATTTTAAAATTAAAAATTTAAACTCGAAAATAGTTGAACCAATGTTGAATAAAAAACGAAATATTAAGTTTCACCGGCTAAAATGCAAAGGATATATGTTTTAGATTAACAAACTTTTTTCTATCATCCATACTTGAATAATTCAATCGGTGAAATAGAGCAGTGAAGCTGTAAAACGTCTGTTCTATCTCGAATTCAAATCTTAAATTTACGAAATCAAATAGACTCCAAAAAATTAATCTGGACATTGATTCAAAATTATTGAGAAAAACTTCTTTCCATCCACACCATTCCATTCGGTAGAGTTGCTTTGAAATTTTAAATTCTTGAATAAAAGCTTCAAGTCCTTTTTGGGAAATTGAAAATTGGTTCGATATTGTAGATATTTGGAACAGCAACTGTTCAAAATTTAGGGTCCAATACTGTAAATTATTCTTTTTTTGGCGTAATACTGTAAAATTGTTCATTTTCAAATCTTGGATTTATTTGCCCATAATATATATATATATATATATATATATATGCATTTCTTCTATTTATGATTTAGAATCGTTTAATTTTTCTTATTTTGATCTAATAATCAGATTTAACTTAATTATACTAACTATGAAGAGAAATGAATTCGAATAATTGGAAAATACTAGTGAAGAAACAATGTAAATGTCAATTTTCATGTATCATATTCAGTGATTTTTATGTCTCGACCAGTATGAAAACATTTATGCCACAACACAACTTGTCGACTAAATTTATCTCCTCAACCACAAGTTGCAAGATTCCAAGGAGGCTAGCTCCCATGGGGTTGCGCTATTTCTCGAGCTAAAAAAAAAAGGAAAGCAAAAAACGACAAAATATCGAGTATTAGAAAACGGAATCTTCCCAAATGAAAAAGAAATTAATTTTGCGACATATAAAAAAATTTGGAGATATTTTTGTGACGTTGACCACCGCGGAATTTCGTTGTCAAATATTTTACAGGAAAATATGTGATGAAATTCTGGTTCATCACCCGAATACAAAGATCAATCAAACTTAAATATTATAATTTTTAATTCTACATGCTCATTGCTTTTGAGATTTGAGACCTATGGTTGTGGATGATAGTGTTTTCAAAATATTTATTAGCCATTGTGACGGTTGGTACTAAATAATTGAGAAGAAGTGAACGTTGCTGCCCATCGTGGTTGATTATAATTAGAAATGAACCATGGTGTATGATGGTGGTGGTAATTTGATATAAATTATTAAAAAATATAATTTTAAAATAATTTTTTAAATTAATTATAATTAATTTTTGTATTATCATTTGATAAAAACTATTTTATAAATTTATAAATAATTATATAAAATATTTTAAAATAGAATTCGATCAATTTAATTTATTTTTAATTAAAATATTTTCTATATAAAAATATTTAAAATAATTATTAAGAAATAAAAAATTATATAATCACATATTATATTTATTTTACTAAAACGTAATACAAAAATTAAACATAATATGCAAATTAAACTACAACGTTTTAATTTTAAAAGTTTTGTTGCGATTACGTTTATCTACTATTGAACCAATTAGTTTTTTCAATACCATCATCCGTTGGAAATCGCAATTGTTCTATTTGCGGCCACCCTTGTGACTTAAAGATCTAATTTTTTTTATCTAGGATAAATTTTATTAAAATTTCTAAACTTATAAAATGGGAAACTAATTTATAATTTTTTAACAGTGATAAAGATTTTTTTATTTTTTTAAAATTATTATAAATCTTGAACAGTCAGATTAAATATTGACCAATATATCATAAATTCTATTAAGCGGCCAACATACTAAGGTGAAATATTAAATATCAAACCCAATTGAAAATAATATATAAAATACGAAATTGAATAAAGGTCAAGAGATAAAGAAACACAATAACCCAGATTAGCAAGTAAATGAATAGATCCTCTTTGACCCCTACTTATTAATACAGATAAAAACTTTTTTTTATTGAAAAAAGAATACTACCAAATTTAGATTAATTTTAAAAGTTTTAACAAACATTGAAAAAAAGATATATTAACCCACAAAACTCTCCTGGCCAGATCGAGTTTCTTTGAAATCGTAAAAAAAAAAACACAACAATAAAACTGAAACCATTGAATTAGAAACAAAGGAGAAAAGTGAGACTTTCATATTATATTTAAAAGAAGAAAGAAGCCAAAAACAAAACATAGAAAGACAAATCTTCCCTTTTAACCTCTCTGCCTTGGCTTTCTTCTAAGGCGGAGAGGGAGAGAGATTCATTCTTTCTCTCCAAAATAAACAAAAAACTCCAACCCAAAAAAAAAGGACAAAAACATCGAAAATGGCGTTTCAGGATTTTGATAAGATCCAAGAACGCGTAAACGCAGAGCGAAAACGCAAATTCAGGAAGAAGATAATCATCGGATCAGTATCATTACTTGTTGTTGTTGCAGCCGTCATTGGAGGAGCTTTTGCTTATGTATCGTATGAGAAGGGGAAGAACAACAACAATGGCCACAGTCAGACAGCAAATGCTAGCCAGAAGCCTCCTGTCTCCGCGGCTCAATCCGTGAAACACGCCAGTTTGGATCAAATCGTCGAGACCCTCTGCAATGCCACGCTCTACAGGCAAAACTGTGAGCAAACGCTCCACGAAAATGCAAAGAATGACACCACTTTATCTAACCCTAGGGCTCTTGTCAGATCGACAATCGAAGAAGTGAAGGTGGATCTCGATAAGGTCATTGAGAAGGTTTTGGGTTTCGAAACCAAGAGCCAGGAAGATAAAGACGCAATAGCGCAGTGTCAATTGCTTGTGGATGAAGCAAAGGAGGAATTGGCCGAATCCGTAAGCAAAGTGAACGAGACAGACGTCAAGAACTTCGCCAAGATTGTCCCGGATTTGAACAACTGGCTAAGCGCTGTTATGTCGTACCAGGAGACGTGTCTTGACGGGTTCGAAGATGGAAAACTGAAATCCAATATCCAGAAGAGCTTCAATTCTTCTCAGATTCTGACGAGCAATTCCCTCGCGATGATTAAATCGCTCGATTCATATCTTTCCTCGATTTCTAACGCTCCAACAACGCGACATCTTCTTGAATCGAAGCCTTCCGATCAGATTCCGTCTTGGGTAAGCAAAGAGGATCGACGAATGTTAAGAGCTGTGGACGTTAATGTTCTGAAACCTAACGCTATTGTGGCTAAAGATGGAAGCGGAAACTTCACAACCATTAACGCAGCTCTCATCGCAATGCCTGAAAAATATGAAGGAAGGTACCATACCAAAGCAAATGTACAACGTTTCACTTCGTAAGATGGTATAAGGGTAATATCATAATTTACAAATACATTTTAACCTAGAGTAATATGAATGGAATTTTGGGTTAAACATATTTGTAAATTAACGATATTACCCTTATATCGAGAGCCATTACTCTTCATGGTTTTATGATTTTTTTTTTTCATGTTTGGTGTTGTAGATACATTATCTACATCAAACAAGGAATTTACGACGAAACTGTGATAGTTGACAAGAAGAAGGTAAATCTTACAATGGTTGGTGATGGATCGCAGAAGACAATCGTCACCGGAAACAAAAGCGTCGCAAAGAAAATCCGCACTTTCCTCACTGCAACATTCGGTATATCGCCCGAAAGAGCGTAAATTCTCGATGTTTTCTCGAATATTTCAATTGAAATACCTCATCGTTTGTTCATGAATATGGCTGCAGTGGCACAAGGAGAAGGATTCATGGCTCAGTCCATGGGGTTCAAGAACACTGCAGGACCCGAGGGACACCAAGCGGTAGCGATACGCGTCCAATCCGACCGTTCAATCTTCCTAAACTGTCGTTTCGAAAGTTATCAAGACACCTTATACGCTTACACACATCGTCAATATTACAGAAGTTGTGTAATTATCGGAACGATTGATTTTATATTCGGAGATGCAGCCGCCGTCTTTCAGAATTGCAACATTTTCATCAGGAAGGGTTTGCCGGGTCAGAAAAACACCGTAACGGCTCAAGGGCGAGTGGATAAGTTCCAAACGACGGGTTTTGTGATCCATAACTGTAAAATCGCATCACATGAAGATCTGCAACCTTTGAAATCCGAATTCCGAAGCTATTTAGGAAGGCCATGGAAGAAATACTCGCGAACTGTGGTGATGGAATCGACAATAGGAGATGTTATCGATCCTTCTGGATGGCTAAGATGGGAAGAAACGGATTTCGCCATCGATACTTTGTTTTACGGCGAATTCAAGAACAATGGACCGAGCGGAGAAGTTTCTTCTAGGATTAAATGGCCTGGATTCAAGGTTATGAACAAGGAAGAGGCCCTGAAGTTTACTGTCAGACCCTTCTTACAAGGAGATTGGATTAACTCGACGAGTTCTCCGGTTAAATTCGGTCTTTATGAGCCTTGATTGAAGAAGAAACGAAACCTAACTCACCGAACTCATTGCTTGGGGAACAAGTAACGGTTAAAACAATGGTTACGAGGACATGACAAGTGAAATAACCGAATCCACTTGGTTTACTTGTGTTGCAAGAAATATTAGTAGAGCATATTGACGAACTGATTAAAAAAGAATGTATTTGATTGAAGAGAGCGTTTTTACTCGACTTTTTTTTTTTCAAGAAACACATTTGAAGTGGTTTTATTTTATTTATTTTTACCGAGAATGAAGTACAATGTTTTAATTTATTGTAATTCCATGGTTCGTTATTACTACAACTGCATCAGCAAATTAGACAATCTTGTGAAAACGGTTAGTTGATGTGGTTTTGAAGCAAAGTTGGAAAGGAAAGAGG